GAGCCCGACAGACAGAGACCTGTGTCTGAATGACAAGAGAACGACATGGCTTTAACTGAAGGATTAAACCAGCAGCGTCATCAATGTCACTTGTACTTGCTGTCCTTGTAACAACGTTTGCATTTGCTGTGATGCTCAGTGGGACTCAAACTCGAGTGTTGATGTTTAGGTACGAGCCTCGGGCTGAAGGAATGGATGAGAGCAGGAGGAAGCAGGAGCTGGAGAAAATCAACAGTGAGCTGCTGAAGAAACTACAAGACCTTGACACTGACATCATCTTCTCCACTGGTGAGTAGCACCTCTTCACATTTGAGAAGCCTGTGAAAGATTTAACTCAGTATTTATCTTTTCCATCTCTTCTCTCCCCAGGCCCTGAGTTTGGGACGGAGGAGGACTGTATCTTTGTTGGCATGGTCACCGAGGACGTTGATGTTTCAGAGTTGGTGGACACAGTAGCTGCCCTCGGGAGGGACATAGAGGAGAACGGAAGGGTAACTGCAATATCATTTCTTTTCTGGGATACTTGAAGGTCAAAGATTTACTGAATAGTTAACATTCATTCAGTAACCTCTCACCAATACTGACAAAGTGGTTGCAATATTGTAATTGGCTATAACTGGAATGGTGATGGTCATTGTGTAATTATACCCCTTCTTTAAATAATGAAACGGTACGAAAGAATGAATAAATCTCTCCCAGTTCAATTATGTGCACTCAGTTATGATTAAATAGCAGCTAAAATATTTGGAGAACTCCAGAAGTGTTTTCACATTCGACCTGAGCATGTTTTACTAGCTTCTAAACAACTACAACAAACACTTGGTTGTGAGATTAGGCATTTTGGAGGTTAATTTGAAATATAAAATTCATTTCAGCAATGAGGACACTAGTGCAGTGCACGGCAATGTAAAGGTATTTGCCTTGAGGCCATGTTGGAGCTGTGCTGGTCACAAACCTGCTGCTCTGTAGATTAGGACATATTTAGCTTTGAATGCTAAGCTCATTGGGCCTCATTCACAAACAGTCACTCCGCATAAATCTGTGCTTGAACCCTGCGTCCAAATGTTTCACGTAAAAATATTTTCTTCCATGAATTTGTTCTGCCTCTGACCATGCATATGCACAGATTTTATTTAAATGCATCTCATATTAAAAACGCATTCATTCAGAAACACTATTTAAAACTGTATGATTTGATGTTTTTCTGGTTCTATAAATGTAATTATTGGTGCTCTTAGATTTCTGCTGGACCGCCCTGTTAGTACAGGAGCATACTGACAAGTAGGAGAGCAAAACATTTTTTACCTCATTTAAAATGTAGTTTCTGAAAAGTTAAACACCCACAAATTAAAACGTGTCGTGGATTTTAAAATGACAACATCTATCTTTTTTTCAATAAATTGTGACTTTTGGACTTAAACACGCTCTTGAGTTTTTGGAAATGTTTGGGTCACATTAATCGGAAACAACGTAGCAAATCTAATTATGCAAACAGTAATATTATATTACTATCTATCTCTATCTCTCTATCTATCTATCTATACACGAGTTTAGCCTGACTAACAAAAGAAGCTGCACATCATTCAAATGTAAAGGTTATGAATAACATTTCGAACTATTCGGTACCGCCCTATTACACTTATGAAATAAACTACCTCTGGGTGGAAGTCGCTTGCTGGATGTCCTCACTTTTACCCTCATTTCTGCCACTCCTGGATTTTTGTCAAATCGCGGCGAGTCTCTCATCTCGGGCTGTTTGGATTGTGCCTGAACGCTGTCCCCTGGTAACCAACATGTCAGGACTCCTCTGGAGCTCTCCGACTCCGATACATTGGCAGAGATAGATGGGAGTCATTTCTTAAGTTAACGTTGATGAAATGCTCCTTGTCCTAACAGTAGGAGCAAATATGTGTCATATTGAGAATGTATGTCAGTTAGGATTGATAAATATAGGCCCTGGTTTTATTTTATGGGTAAAAGATGGATGCCAGGGGTCACATCTGCAACTACAGGGACTCGGACCCAGCACCTTTTCATGTCAGAGCTGACTCACCAAGCCCTGATCTAGCCAACACTTATCAGAACATGGAGATGACAGCTTATTTTCTGTTAAAATCCCAAATTCAATGGAAAAATCCCATTTGCTTTTTATCGAGCGAACCAGGGCGACGCTAACTTCCTGTAGGATACAAACGTACATCATCTCTGCACCACTCTATTCTGACATTTCTAAATGGTAATGACTCTTTCCTGTGTAGCTACTGGAGAACATGACAGAGGTGGTGAGGAAAGGCATCCTGGAGGCAGAGCTGCAGCTGCAGAAGGCCAATGAGGAGAAACTCATAGAGGAGGTGTGTGTGCCTGCTTATGTTAGTTTGTACTTTGGGGTAAGGAGTTCTCAGGAGACTAACATGTTTGTTTGCTCTTGTTTCATTAATTGTGAGTGTGTGTTTGGGTGTGTGAAGGTCGACATGCGAGTATACAAATCCAATCCATTGAACTGTTTGACTTCCTTTGTGTTCGCGTGTAGGGAATGCTGAGACAGCTTCCTGTGGTTGGCTCTGTGTTGAACTGGTTCTCTCCATTTCAAAGTTCCATTAAGGGAAGGACCTTCAACTTGGCTGCAGGTACAGAGTGTCCTTGTATGGTGACAGTTGGAGATGATAATCCTGAGTCACTAAATGTCACATCAGGTGTAACTTTTCTACCCAATGATGAACTTATTAGTATTATATGTTATACACAGTATTGGTGTATAACATGTGAATGGTGTGTGCCCATAGGTTCCCTGGACTCCACAGAGACGACTTACTCCACCAAGGCCCAGCCAGGCAGGCCGTCCCTGCAAGAAAGTCCCACCTCCTCATCAAAGAAACATCCGGGTAGGTCGAGCAGTGTTAAGCTGCCGTCAGTGAGGCTGAGCTCCTCCAGCAGATCATTGAGATGAAAAGCCTTCCAGTACAGGAAGGGATTATACGTCTGCTCTGTGAGCCACAAGAAGGCTTTTCATGTCAAACATCTGTGCAGGAAATGTCGAGTTTTATTAACAGCGTAACAAGGATAAAAAAACAACCTATAAAGGCTGCTCACACCAGACGGTGGCACAGAGAAAATAATCCATAATATGTGCTTCTATAAACTCGGTGGCTTCGTGACTACTCGCAGGTTTTTTTGGTAAACTGCTGTTGCTGGCCAGCTAATGATTAACATGCTAGCCAGCCCTACTCCCTCTTGACATGTTCTAGGGACTATACATCAATTTAGTCAATACATTATTATTGGAGTGGGAAAATAAGCTCCCTGAGCTTGCTAAGTGTCAATTAGCAAGCAAGCTAAATTTCACTTAGTAAGCTCATTAGCCCAGTCACTCCCAGGACAATCAGTTCAAAAGACATTTGTACATGAAGTCCTATCTGAAACCGTATACTGTCAGTGAGTTGTGCAACACAGCTAATAAGCTATGATTGCTTCCTCCATGTTTGACTCTTCTGCTCCCTATTCCCTCAATGTTTGTTTTTATTTCATTTGTTTTTTACCCATTCCCCCATGTCAGTGCTCTAAAGTTGGGTTGTTATCGTTCAACAGTGTAAATTTGTCAAAGTTAAGTAGACTTCCATTTGATCAATTGTTTGGATTGTGTCCACACCTCACTGAGGTCCCAACTCAATGCGAGCCAGGCCACCTCGGCACGTGGTCTGGCTGATCGGATCCTAATAAGAGTATAATCTTGGAGCGTACAGAGTTGACAGTTAATGCGTCCTGACTTTATTGGATGACAAAAGTCCCATTGGAAAGACAAGACCACGGCTTTAGTGTTTTGGACAGGGCATGTTTTAATAAGCACCCATATATCCTCAAAATGTAGAAACATCTACGTTACCAGTTCCTGGGAGGAAGGAAAGAACCTCATTTTTCTTATTCAAAGTAGTCTCATCTTTTTTTCCATCTTCCTGAAAGTTTTACCCTCCGACTAGTTCATATTGGCTAGCTTGCAAGTTGATGAAGAACATGAAAATAGTGGACAGTAATTTCTGTCAGCACTCTCTGAGCTCTCTCTTCTTGTTACCAGTGCTGTTCAGAGAATTCTCTACCTGTGGAAAATGACATCCCACTCAGCTTGTGCACTTCCTGTCTTAACGGTGTCCTCACAGGTCAGAGGTTATTCCGGCGCTCAGGGGCGGGCTCCGACTCCTTTAGTGAAACCAGCTCCATTGGCCCAGCTGAGGAGACAACCAGAGAGGCGAGTACCACTCCCAGCGGTAGCATCCACCCCCCCGCCTCTCCTCCTGCGCCTGAGGAGGACTCACGCACCGCAGAGGTTGTCGTACCAGAGAACATCCAGGAGTCATCTGTGCAGGTGCACACACAGCTGGAGGATGAAGTGGCCTCAGAGGAGAGGCAGCCTGAAGGCCAAGAGGTAGAGCAGAGCGGGAGATAGGATACACTCTGTCTGCAGGTGTCCTCAACCGTCCTCTAAATGGTACCAGCCTAACGGATGTTAAAAGAAAGGTGTTGTTACATTGTTAATCTAGTGAAGGGAAAGTGGTGATGGAGCTAGATTGGGCTGTTTGTCTCTGTCCTATGTCAAAGGAAAATCCACCCGATACTTCCATGCTGCGATGCTCACTTCAGTGCATTCTAGTTATTTAGTGATTAGTAAAGTGTTCTGAGAGGTTGATGAAAAGTCTTCTGCTGCACTCTAAATATCTTGACGGATCATTTCATCCCTGATTGGTCCTGTATTCACAGCTATACTAAGAATACAGTAAACGACAGAATGAAGTGTTTTAGGGTGGATTTCTCCTTTAAAGGTAGGATCTCCATTTAATACTCCCTTTATCACTGAACTGGAATTATAGCAGCTTGATGTTAAAGCAATGAGTGTCACTGCAATTACAATGTTTCGATTCCTCACTGTAAATAGTCTACGCAGATGTTATATATCTAACCCATGAAATTACTAACTGTAATTACTTAAAATGAATTCAATCTGTATAGGAGTAGAGTATCATAATCTATTTAATTCAAATATACCTACTGATAATAGCAGTCGCCTGTGTCAAACACTCCCTTCATGTTTGCAGTGAAACAAATCTTAAAAAAAAGAACCAAATTTAGAGAAAGAGGTCACATTTTTAGGAATAAAAAGTTGTAATTAATGAGTCACAATAATATAATTATTAATTATGAGATCATTTTACATAATTAATCATATTATGAAAATATTTTGCAAGATGAAGTTTTAATGGTTCATGAAAAAGTTAGTAATTACTCAATTATAATTTAAGATGAAGTTGTAATTCTATGAGGAAAAGTTGTGAATTTACAAACTGAAAAAGTCATGTTACGAGATAACAATTTTAATAATATCATTTTAGTAAGTATCATTTTTGAGAACTATATTATTAACCTTTAAGAACAAGCTAAATGTTTCATTATTGGATGAAGAGCATGTCCCTGGTTTAGTTCTGTTGTTCTTAAACATAATAATAATGAACGTAATGAGGTGCTTATTGGTGATCCTCATGTTGACCTGTAGATGGACAGACTGTTCTCTGTTCACTGCAGCGCAGTAAGACCGTATACATTTAGAACATAACAGTCTCTAAATATTCCACATTTTTCTCAAAAATGACGTCTTTGTTCCCACAATATCATGACCTTTCTAGTACAATCACAACTTTATTTTCATAATGTTTGACTTTTTCTCAAAATTATGACATTTCCCCAAAATACTATGACTTCATTCTCCAAATTTCAAAGTTCTGTATTAACAATATCAACTTTGTGAATGAAAATCAGATTCCCTTCCTCATTGCACATGCAGCTGTGGTTTTCTGCAAATATATGTTTGTGTTTGTCAGTAATGCAACCTGAGCAGAAAGTGACTTTCTGTCACAGAGGAGCATTGCTTCACAGGTACTCACTGTAGGAAGATTTCTGTTCTTTGCCAAAAACATCCTGCCAGACTTCCTGTCTGCCTTATTAGAAGGCCAAATAGATGTGTGACTTTTTGGAAATTCCCCCACCCACCACTAACGTCCCATCTTTTTCCCTTGTCCCTTTGATGACTTTTGGTATAAATAATAACAGATAGTACCGGCTGATGATGAGCAAGTTATGTACAATTTATTATGTTTCTTTGTGTAGAAGGTCACACAGTCCAAACGCTTCTCACACCACCACTGTGCTAAATTGCAGAGAGCAGCTTTGTCATGTTTGAGTTGCAGTCCTTCCACACTCCCAAAGGTCCCTGCTCACTTCTGGCCTTCCCAGTCCGTCTTGAAAGAAATGTGGTCAAATCTGTGGTCGTCAATCCAAACTGTGGTCCTGGATGTCACTGTGAGACACCCCACTAAGGACCACTAAGTCATTAAAGGAAATGACCTATGACATGCTAACTGCTTGTAGACATGCCCTCAGATCTGATATCACACAGATGTCATCAGACCATCTCTCACAGTGTGACATGGAACAAAGCAGAACTGTTATCACACCTGGTCTAGAGGCCTTGAAGGGTTTTGCTTCAGCAGGAAATGGAAGTGTGTTATAAATTCACAACATGATGGCTTCTCATCAGTGAGTGATTATGATTGATTTCATGCTTTTTGGAATTTAATTGGACTGAACGAGCCTTAATTGGTCTGGCAGAATGGTTTATCGAAGTTAGATTTGCTCTCATGGAGGTGCCTAAAACAACCTGTAGTACTGGTGGAACATGTATAACGAGTTGTAATATGTGGATTAATACGATGGGTTGACAAGGGATTTACACAGTGAGAACCAAGATTACAGAAGAATCAATTTCATCTTTATTGCACTTAATCTGTAGATAAGTTCTTGACTACTGATCTTTATTTCGTTTTTGACATGGTGTAAATGAAGCAGAATCTTGTCGATGATTATTTCTCTTATTTAATCCTAATGCAAAGCTGAGTCAATAATGTCGCAACCTTCCGGGAACATGTTTGATGAAGAACTTTGATTTGATGTCTTGGGCCGTCCTGCCTGTCACTGTCTGAATGATTGATTGTATTTGATAAGCAGAATCTTTTCTCTTGAATGTTTTCTACAATTAGTTTACAGAAAAGAAACACTTTCACATTTTCTGTAAATTTTGTCTCTCAACAGAATAAATTCAAAGTTTTGTAGTCTTAATGTTAGGCCATGGCTGTATGTGAATCAGTTCTTATTCTACAATAATAATAACATATCAATTTTCTATAGCGCTTTTCAAGATACCCAAAGATGCTTTACAAGGCAGAGACAAACAGAACAAACAAACAAACAAAAACTAATAAACTAAAAAATAATGACTGGAGAAGCTGTGCTGAATGGATCATGTAATGGAGGGTAGGGTGCCGGGGTTAGCAGGTGAAGGCGAGGTTGAAGAGGTGGGTTTTGAGGGCTTGTTTGAATGATGATAGGGGGGAAGCCTCACGGATGTGGATGGGGAGGGAGTTCCAGAGGGGAGGTGCAGCAGCTGAGAAGGCCCTGTCACCCCAGGTCCGGCGCTTGGTCCTGATGGTCTTCAGAGTGTTTGCACCGGCGGACCTGAGGCAACGGGTTGGGCCGTGGAGGGGTAGGAGGTCTGAAAGGTAGGGAGGGGCCAGGTTGTTTAGGGCTTTGTAGGTGGTGAGTAGTATTTTGAAGTCTATTCTGTATTTGACCGGGAGCCAGTCTTGTACCTCTCTGTCTGATTCTTGTTCTTTCTCTGTCCTGTTGGGAAGTGTTCATTCAATGCAACTGGCATGTGTGTGGTTCAGTTATTCACGATGCATTCTTGATTACATTTGTAATTGTACATAAGTTCTAGATTTCTGGCAAACAGAGCAATAAATCAAAACAATTGCAGGCATAAATAGCAAAAAGTACGTTCACAGACAAAAATGAAAATCACAAAATGGAAAGGTCTGCGTGTATAAATGTGTTTTAAGACCTTGTAGTATGCTGGACTAAAACTTAATCTACGTTTGTCAGATTGTTGTGCCGTCTGAGGCCTTTACAGCTACAACAAAAGCAAATACAACAGCAGTCAGACCAATACAAATAATGATCCAACAACAATACTGATTATCAGAGGTGTGGACTTGAGTCACATGACTTTGACTCAAGACTGACAAAATCAAAATGGTCGATTCGAAACTTGTAACTATGGGACTTGTTGGTGTTGACTTGTGACAGGATGAATTACGCGCCAGAATCGGGCCAAATACACCGGCCCGAGTCCGGCTGCCGACACTGCTATTATTGGGATTGCAGTGACGCTGCTGCTCGCACACATCCACGAACGAGCTAATGTACCTACATTGAGATAAAAAATGGCAGCAGTCGCCTTCAAAATAAAAGCAAAGCAACTGTATTCCGTGCATGATGTACAATTATTTATGTTTTATTCCTTTAGACTTTGCTGTCTGTTGAAGACTTTGATGTCTGTGGTAGATCATCTCTGAAGTAATCGGACTGTACTCAACACTGGTTTTGATAGGAATGAAGAAATGTATTTCGATCAGATACTACAGTATATAAGGTTTTAAGTCCTAGCAGCGTGATGTCAGAGTGAAGCCCAGCAGAGAATGTGATCAAAGCCATCAAAGCCAAATTCTCTGGATGACGTCACGGAGTGAAGCCAAACATTCCATGTCCATGGATACATAACAGAGAGGAGCTTCACTTCTTATTGTTTGATTATTCTACATATTTGCTTATATAGATTCGATTTATGATACACCTTGTGATGTTCACGGTAGAACCACGCCACCTTGTGGGTGGTACAAGATATAGACAGGCAGTCAGCAAGACCGCATGAACAGTGTGTACGAGCGTCCGAATAAAAGCTTGTTGCAGTACATCAAGTCATTCATCTGGTGTATAACTACACTACAGAATCATTACACACCTCAATAGCTTTTTTTGTTATTTGTTTAGTTTAATTATGTTTAGTATATGTAGTATTTTGGTTTGTTTGTTTATGAATTGGCTAACACTGAGGACACCTGTGGTTACATGTATGAGTCGGCAGCTACAGGATCTCATAGACAATGTTGAAGCACTTTAACGTTTGGATCCGCATGAACCTCATCAGTACACAACTTAAAGTGTGTTTGATAAAAACTAAATCGACCAGCTTTTTTTGAAGGAACTGAGCCTTCTTTAAAATAGGGAAACTATGTATTTGTGTTTTTAAAGATGTTTTTTTTACTAGAAGTGTCTAAGTAGAATAAAATGATCCCTTCACATCACAGGACATGTTTTAAGG